AAAAAAAAAAGTAATTCCTTCGCTAAACTCCCACGCTTGAAAAAATATCAAGCGGATTTGCCAACACGTATATCTTGGTCCATTAATTACCACCAAAAAAGTGTCTCTTTTCGTCAACCGAAGTCCTCATTCTTTCTCTACACAAGCGCAGCAAAAAAGAGCCACGAAAAAGAAAAATCCCGGGTAAACTGTCTTTTCTTCTTTAAATTTCGATACGGGATATTTCAATTTTTTCTTCTTCCGTCGACGGATTAAAAAAAAGAAAATATACGAAGCAGAGGACAAGGAACGAATTGCGTCTAGAAATAGCGGAATTCACCTTTCCTGCCGCGCATTTCCGCTGGGATATCGCCGGTCTGCTTCACTTTCGAAACTCGACGATGCTGGTCCCCGGAATCGCCACCGCGATGATTTTCCTGCAGAAATAAGAATACAGCCATGAACATGATGGACATTTTCTTGAATACATTTTAAACCAGAAGTTACGGGAACTTGAAAAAGTGCAGATCATTGATGGGTTCTAAAAATGAATTATCTCCGGATCACCAGCGATTGGCTCTTTCTTCTTTTCTAATTCAATAAACTTTGAGACGGCGCAGACCATTTTAAAAGGAAGGAATCCAGCGGTAATTCTCAAAAGTCGTACTTGATTTTTTCAAAAAAAAAAAAAAACAAGGATTAAACAAATGTCATTCTTTAAAAGTTGAGACCGAAAATTACTTTGCAATGATGAGAATTTATCCGTGTTTTTAATAGGACCATGATTTCATTCCATTATACCGCTTTGATAAGTTATTTCTTGAATTGATTCACTATAAAAGTTTCAGAGGTTCTCCATAAATGAATCTGTCAGACGGGCATAATCCTTCTAGAAAAAGGTTCAACCTTGCCAGGCACGAATTTAGTCATTCGTGACGTTTTCTTGGGTTAATAAACTGAAGATGCAGGGGAGAAATCAATTAAGACAAGTGGGCGGTCAATAGGAAATAATGATTGGTCAAGGGGTTATCCCACAAACAATGTAAAACGACAACAGGGGTGAGTGAGAAAAAATGTCCTGCAAGCACGGATGGACTCAGGGTCAAGACAAAATCCCGAAACGAGCATTCGAAATGACGGACACTGTTTTGGTTAAATCGAACACAGGCCAGAAATTGAGACAGGGCGAGAAATTTGCAGCGTTCCGTTCAACTTGTTCCAACATCAGTCGAGAAAATGTCGCTACAGAGTATTTTCATATACAGTAGTTTCAAAGATGATTAAAAATTTGTAGCTTTCCATCCAACTTGTTCATTCATCAGTTCATGAAATATTGTGATATCCAGGGGTATTTTCATACATATTTTCAAGGATGCTTCGAAAAATCATCGAAGGCAGTCAAACATCAATTTTCAGTGTTTTTTGTCCCTCACGCTTTTCACTGAAAATTTATTAGATTTTGAGACTCCTCAGTAACGCAAGAGAACAGAAAAACATTCAAAGCCAAAAACATCACTGCTGATGAGAACTTACACGTACACCAATCAGTAATTATGTCTATACTGCACAATGTAACTTCTTCTTTGGCTTTAATTTTATATTTAAAATTTCTACATAATGGTCTAACGTGTAGAGAGAAAAAAAAACGGGGTAAACTCCATAAATGGGCAATCGCAAAAAAGGACTAATCCTCTCCAATGTCAGTTGGCAAGTTAGATTGAAAATTTTCGCGCCAAAGTTTACAAGATACTGTATAATCAAAATTCAACAAAATGTTCTCCATTAAAATTTTTTCTTAAGAATTTTCAGTTTCTTAGCGCGTTGAAAGAGCGGTGTAGTTAGTTTTAGCCGTGGTTGCGTTTGTGTTCCTTGCCATTAATCTTTTTTTGGTGGTCTACTCCCTAAAACCAAAAAGGTCCGCCTAGTCGACGTACCGACCCAAGCAAAATTTTCCGCAAAATTCTCACTTTTTTTCCCCTTTCGCTAGGACGACGACCAAACCGCAGCTCAGTAATTTACTGCGTACGACAAAGATACTCGATTAAAACCTGGATTAATTTTTCACAACAAGGATTCAAAGAAGAAAGAAAACTACAGTATTCACAACAATTCTCGAACACGAAGCCATAACCATCAACCATGAGGGAATTTGAAACTGTGATCACAAGTCTACGGAGAAATTAACGTTGAGATTCGATTTCACGGGGGCAAACTCTGATTTTGAGGAAAATCCGTAAAGTAAAAATGAACATCTCTTTCTTAATAATATCATTGCATTTTAAAACATATGTCTTAAACAAGGCAGATTCTGATCTAAGAAAATCGGCAACTTGAGAACGACTCGTGTTTCTCTCTATCATCATCATTAATACGTTTTAAAAACAGAGAAGTGGGTGTTCTAAACGTATCCTGATTTTCAAGAAAATCGAGAACTTGAACACGACTTCCTTTCTCTTTATTATTTATGTTGATACATTTCAAAAACAGATAGGAGGATGTCAAAAAAGTCGGCAGATTCTGATTTCCACGAAAATCGGCAACTTTAAAATCGAATCGTTCTCCTGTTTATCATTATTTTTATTTATTAACCATATAGAAGAATGTTCTAAAATATAAATCATATCTCATTTACATGATCTCGAGAAGAGGAAACTGCTGCAATCGGCACACACGCACAAAAAAAAAGTCGTAACTAGGGGATATTTCCTATTGCAAATTCGACAAACACGAAAAGAGAGAGAGCTCGGCTCAGTCGTCATCCCAGTCGTAGACTCTGCCAGGCGTCTTGCCGGTCTTGAGGACGCTTTTTGGATTCATCTGAGGGTAGTAGCCCTCGGGGGAGTAGAGGGGATTGGGAAAGGCTTCTTCCGGGTCTACCTGGTCGCGGGAGCGGTCGTCGACGAGGGGCCCGTCATTCGGAAACGTATACAGCGTCACGATCGTGTTTGGCACGTGTCCCACCCGGCCTTGCATGTTCTGCACCTTCCACCACTTCCTCGAGTCATCTAGAACCTGAAATCGTGACAAGCAAAAAAAATTAAAGTAAACTATCACGATGGAGATAATCACATGATTCACATCCACTGTACTGAGAAAAGACAGAAGACACGCACCAAGGATAAAGGATTACCGTACTTCACCACAGTAACATGCGCACCTTTTTTTTTTGGAAAATGGTCAGAAAAGAGAGGTACACGTAGTATGCGGGTAGACATTAAAAAATATGGTGGCGGTGACAGTCAGAAGCTAGTCTTCGGCAAAAAAAAAAATTTGGATTTGAAACTTTATTAGGCATCAAACCTGTTTCAATGCTCTAAGTTCTATAATTCAATTACTGTACGGTATAAGAAGGCTCAGTTAAAAGCATTATTCTGTAAAGAAAAATTCTATGCTCAGGCAACAAAAACGTTAGGAGTTGTCTTTTGCGGGGATAGGTTTTTCGGCAAGTTTTGCGCCAAAAATTCGAGGTGCGAGTCTTGCTCACGAGGGCACGCGGTACTCAAATAAATACGGCACAAACAACCGAAGAAAAAATATGTAGAATGGCCTCATCGTTTTTTCCTCTCCGTTTAAACAGCTTCTCAGTATGGGCGCATGACACGGTGACACTTATAAAAGGAAAAACGAACTACAGTACTTCACAGTACTGCATTTCATTCGCCATCTTAGGCGTCATAAATTTACTCTACTGTACAGTGAATTTTTGGTTCAGTACCAGGTTAACCGTTGCAATCAGCGATGTTGCCAATTAAGAGCATAACAATCCATAAAAATAGCTTTTCGTCCTTCCTTGGACGTTGCCTGTGCAGATATCCAGTCAACAATTCGGGGTAAACTGACTAGGGCAGCTACTTCACATACAACGCCCGACTTTTCTTCCATGTCGAGCCCTGTAGATGTCGCTGCTCATCACCCTAACTAAATTCACTAAATAACACATTCGATTCAACTTAAGGAAATTTGTATACTGATGCAATCTACGTTCTGTAACATCGTTCTGAGGAAATAGTCTTCACAACAAATTAGCTTTTTTGTTCCCTATCCAATAGCATATTTCAATCTCGTTTCAATGAATTCTCCGTTATGGAGCTCTTTCACGACCCAAACGCTGCGTTGTAACGATATTTTACTGTACGGTAAAAAAGGGTCATCAGCTAACATATGAAAGAATAATTGAACAATGATATCCAGGCGACGCCTATTTGAACGCATGAAACGACCATGGAGTCGAGGAAATATTTTATCAAAACTTGTAGAGCACACAATAACTCAAATTTTAAAAACAAGAGAAGGAAAACTGATAATTATTTTAAAATTTCCCTCTTTTTTTCTCATTCCAAAGTTGTAGCCCAAAACTTGCCGAAATTCAAGATTTTTCCAGCAAAAAATTCGTTAAATGAAAGAATTCGGTCATGTGACCCCTGAGGATATTTGTGATGCAGGGACTCGGTGTACTTTACAATTTTAGAGGAGCAGCCCCCACAATTATACACGTGAACTCTCTCTGTACAACACATTTCAAGGGACAAGAAAAAAATTGTTGCAGAGAACCCCGATAAAAATCGGGAGAGAACCCCATGGAACCACAGAAAAAAATCGTTGCACACAGAAACTCGCTGTAGAGCGAGTCCACCTGCAGACGGTTCAAGAAAACGATAACGAATCCTTTGCAGGACGAATATTTCCACAAGAGAAAACTGTTTTTGACAGTCCTTTTTAAACTTGATCCAAACGTACACAACCTTGCGGATGCCTAAATAAATTATTCAACACAATTTTTTGACCGGTGAACTAAGCTACCTTTAGACAAAAAGAAGTCCCCAAATTGGTCTTTCCGGCACAATTTTTCAAGAACTTCGAACTGGAAATGAGCTTCTATACCAGCACTGCCCAACTCAGATCCGGCCAAGGTCCACATTGTAGAGGCGGAGAATCATTGAGAATCACAATCGGAAATAACTTTTGACGTTCAAAATTTCCTCCATTGAATGAAAGAGTTTCAAATTCAGTTCAGTGCTACGCATTGAATCACGAGCATAGCTTTATGTAATCTTTTGAAAGGCGGAGCAACATTTAAAAATTTTAAATTGCTCTGTCAATATACCCTGTACACTGCAGTAAATACAAACTATTTTGAATAGTGGTGTCAGCCACGTTGAAAATTACAGGTAAAGGTCCTCGAGGCGTTAAAAATTCTATACGGGCCGTATCTTGGACAGCACTGCTCTATACCAGTGTTCCCCAGACCTTTTTAAGCCGGCAAATTTCCATAAAATTTTTGGCGGACCAGCAAATTCCCGAAAAATTGTCTGCAGATCGGCAAAGTTTCGTAAAATTCGTACAGACCGGAAAACAATTTTGCTTGATAAACTTTACGGCGGGTATATGAAAGTTTTTCGCTTCTAGCAAAAATTAAGTTAAGCACGTATGAAACAGCTATAGCTGAATGTCATCAAAAACTTAGAAAGGTGGAAATTTAAAAAAAATTATTTCAGCACATCAACATGTGTCTGGAGTGCTGTTATTACGATAAAAGCAAACTTTCATGTTTCATCAAATGCTTTCAATTGCTTGTCTTTCAGACTGTGATAACAGAGCTCATTGCTACTTTTAATATAAGTATTAAGCTGAAAATTTGCCGCGGACCGACAGAAAATTTATGCGGACCGGCGCCGGTCCGAGGACCAAGGGTTGGAGAACACAGCTCTATACGAAACATAGATAAAGGTACTCTTCACAGAGAATCCGAAGAAGAAAAAAAAAAAACCACGAGAGAAATTAAATGGTCCATGACGCGAGAGAAACCGTAAAGGAACGCTGGTAACACAAAGCTTACATCACTTCTCAAGAAACCCAATCGTCATTATAACCTGCTGGAGTCAGGAATGTCAACCGGAATCCAGACGAGACGCAAGCAAAGCCACACTACGAGGTCACGGGCGACCAAGAACGCATCAGACCCGTGAGAAAGCAAGAAGAGGGGAGAGGCAGAACACACACAAAAAAGAAAACGGGACCAGATAATCCCACGGGACGCAATCAAAACGATCGATCAAAACAATTCAGACGCTTGACCATACACACTCGAGAAAAAAAAAGAAAAATAAGAAAAATACATATATCAGCTACAAGGACCCTGACCTCGAGGAATTCGCCGCGGTTTACGGTGAGCTCCTTGGGATTGTTGGCGGTGCGCGGATACGTGACTTGCACCACACGGGAGCCCCTGGCCCGCAATTGCTCCAGCCACGTCCTTTCCGGGTCCTTTTCGATTGAGTCCACAGATATATCACTCCTTCCTCCGTACTCCACACCCCTTGAGGTGAAAAAGAAAAGACGACGAGAGTTTTCAATCTAATCTGCAAATCCGCAGAGTCAATGCCGACGAGACAATTACCGTAGCTTCGGCAACCACGGAATTCCGATTTACATCTCTTGACCAAACACAATACAGTACCCAGCAATTCCAAATGTCACTTTCTTCCTTAAAATCTCAATGAACGAACGAGTCAGGACAAAATCTTTGAAATTCCTCATGGGGAGCCAATCGAATTGTGCAGGAAACGCTCTTCGAAGGGTTTTTTCGAGGAGCATTGTCAGTCATACCGTGATCTTCCTTTGTTCCGTGTTCGTTCACTATAGATGTTTTTTTCGGGTTTTCACGAATCAATACTCAATTAATTTCTAACCACTGTGCAAATACAGCTGGACTCTCTCTACGAAGATTTTTTCTGTATAAAAATTGTTTTTAAAGGAACTCTCTTCCCATTCCATACGGGATCCGAACAATAAAATTACCTCTAAATTTAATTTTTCCTGATCCCGTAAATTTCGTTGCAGGGAGAGTCCTCCTGTATCATTCATTCGAAGAAGAATTCACTGAAAAAAGTATCGAACACTCGAAAAGCACCCATTCACTAGGAGGAAATACGGTAGTAAAATACTAGCGTGCTGCGTGAATTCACAGGCAGTTTGAAAGCTGATAAATTTAGCAGTAACGGTCAAGTCGAATACGTCGATAAAGCGTGCAAAAAGATCGCAGCCCGAAAATTGGCACAAACCTGACATCGTCGTGCAGTTCTTCTCGCTGGCCATAGTGTCGGGTATAGCCACGAACATCTCGGCCATAACCGTCGGCATATTGTCGCTCCCTCAAACTCGCCTAAAAAAGAAAAAAGAGGACCTCGTTACATCGTGAAATTTTAAAAAAGCGATTACTTTTTGCATGATTGATATTGTTTTCGGAACGCCTAGACGAGTGTCACCTAGATTAACGGCCATACAAAAAAAAAAAACCTAGAACGATCTACTCTACTCCAATTAACTTAAATTAATGATAACCCGAAGTAACTCCACCTCTCGCATCCTAACCAAACTTTAATTTGGAAACATAACCCAAAGCATCACATCAAGCCAAAGAAAAATATGAGTAACATGAAAGAGGCTGAATGATTTAACGTAGTTTATTCTCACAACGCGTTTTCCTCAATCAACTAATTCCAATTACAGCATGAGAACAATTCCAGAAAGGAAAAGCAACCATTAATTTACCCACTAATCCTAACAAACGATCTAAAATAAACCAATGTAATGTGAAAAAAACGCGTCTAAAAAACGGATTCCCTGACCAACAAAACACTAACTAAAAACAATCTCAGTCAATTGTACACAGAACCATCTTCGGACCAAAAATAACGTGAAAAAACTAACCTATCAGCTCACATCAAATAGAACCTATGCAAAAGACACCCACGGTAAAAAAAAAAAAAAAAACCATCTGACGTTGGAGGGAAATATCCAGCATCGAAAAAACTATAAATATACTAAATGAAGGTCCTCTCGCATCTCGAAGAACCTGACTAGAAACAATCTCACTAAATTCAATCAATTGTGGACGAAACCATCTCTTGACTAAAAATAACCCAACAAAACTAACCACATCTGATAAAACCTTTCCACAATTGCAAAAGACACCCAAGTAACGATCAATAGAAAATCACCTGACGATGAGATGAAAAAAGAATACGGTACTTTCCTGTTATCTCTGTACCTTCCCTCTGACCAATTTAACCTGACCTACCCTAACTTCACCTAACTGCCTCCCAAAATCAGTTTCTGCTTTCTTTGGGTTTCTGCTAAAACTGATTTTGGGAGGCGTTTAGGTGAAGTTAGGTTACATAGTTAGTTAGGTTAGTTAACTTAACAAACTTAAGTGAGTTGAGTTAGTCAAGTTAGTTAAGTTAAGTGACAAATATATTTTACGTAACATAATCTGACCTAACCTAACTTTACCTAACTGCCTCCCAAACAGTCAAAGTCGTCTTACCCCTTTTTATTTTAAGTCAAAGACCGTCCAGCAACACTAATACTTGAAGAGGATTTCTAAACAGACCTACCATCACACCAGAACGTCTCATCCATGACTCTATTGTCCTTAGTACCAAAAATTGTAATAATTATTTCATTGGATAAAAATTTGTTTGAAGAGCTATTAGGAGGAAAGCCCACTTTTATTTTCTCATTGGATAATTTTACCAGCAATTTTCTCTCCAAAGTTCCAGATGAAGAGAATGGACTCCATTGCTAATTTTGATAAATTCACCATGCTGCATAAAATTGTCTGCAGACCATAAGTTGGGGAACATGGCTGGACTTTGCAATATGTTTCTTCGATCTGTATCTCATTCCCTCATTTGGCTTTTTCAGTGTACATGTCGCTGTGAGGGGCAAGGTGTCCTTGCACTCCAGTAACCCATGCAAGTTTCAGGTTTGAATGTGGATACAATGTGCAATTATAATGACTAACAATACTACACCCTACGTACGTTCCCTTTGTCCTTGTACCTGACACGTACTGTTGAGTAAGTCGTCGTCGTTTAACTTTCCCGTAGGAGTAGAACTACTGTACAGTGTAAGTCAATACTTACTACGGACGAACGTTCAAACACCCCACCCGGATATGTTTCACAGGCATGTATAGATATTTTACAATTTACAGTATAATTGCTGTTGACTCAGGTCTGCTGGCTCTGAAGTATGCACTTGCAAGGTGTTATATTTTATTTGTCGGTTGCTCCTAAACATAAACTTCATGTACTTTATTTTTTCAAATACCACATACACTCAAGTAAGACACAAAGCATGATACAGAATTGTGCAGTGTGATTTGAGATAAAGTGTATCCCTGAATAAAGGGGGAAATCCACTTTTTGGTCACCAGTAAGCTCTACAGCATTAAAATCCACAAATATATGTTGTAATCCATGATTCAGATAGCAGTAGAATTTGCTTGAAACATATTTCTTTATTAATCTTTTACAGAGATTTTTTTTCTTGGTCTCAAAAGCTTTATCATTGGCAACAATACAGTAATTAAAAATCTTGCCTCAGTGAACTCATTTCTGGCTGGAAGTTCATAACAAATTTTTGGCCTGCTTTCTTTGCATGGGCCATGGGGATTATTTGATGAATGTAAGAAAATTAAGAAATTGACACAGTGCAGCATTCCAACTCCATCAGAAATGCATAACTTCATGCAGATAGAAGTTGATGTTCCAAAAAATGCACATGATGTTTTTCAGAAATTCTTCAGGTACATTCAAGAGTGTATGCTTTTCTTTCAAATGAACAGTAGAAAAAAATTGTAGAAAAAATTTCCCCCTATTTGAGAGAACAGAAAGGTATGGGTGAAGTTGATTCAGTTCTTTACTTCATGTCATAAAGATCGTTGGTACTATTACAATAGTTTCCGTTATTTAATGTGGTCGTACTTCCGGTCAAATTACGTACCTTCGACATAACATGAATTTAAAAAGAAGTAAAGTAGTCAAATACTGATTATGTTTATCCTTCAATTATCTGTTAAATTTGGAAGCACTTCATAATACTTCCCATTTCAAGCAAAATGTCAGTCTGAAGTGTATTAAAAACCAAAAATATCCACACAACAGATTTTTTGGGAGAACACATTTTTATGAGATACCTGGGATTTAATTGTAAGGGGATGTTACTGCAGATGCAAGTTGGGAATGTGAAGAAAATCTGAATGGGTGACAATATATTAGATGTTCTTGTTCTTGTAGCTTGAAAGTTTTTAAATTTTCAACTTTTCTTGCATGAAGATGTTCCTAATGCAATTCATCTAGTATGCTTAACCCCCTTTTTTTAAAGATGTCCACCAAATTAGGATTTGATCCCTGTTTTTTGGTACAGATACCCAGAAAATAGGTTGATGTTGTAGTACATTACAATGATTTTATTTTTCGCTATCAAAGCCTTTCAGTGTAATGTAAATGCTTCAAAGAAGGTCCCTTGCATTTGCTGTATTTGAAAAAGTAGCCTTGGATCCAGGCATTTTACAGAATGACTTCTATTAGACTCACAATCATTCACAAAATTTGGGTGTTATTGTTGGATGTTCCTTAACTATAGACAGTTTGCCTCTCACACACTTTTATAGAATTCTTCAAATAATTCAAAGACATGACAATGATTGTTGCTTTTAGCTATACAAGCTGCTATACTTTACATCAACCCATTATTGAAGGACTAGGGTGCTTTCAATAGTACTGACCACGTGTTAATTGAGGCATAAAGGGTAAAATCATCTTTTCTTAGCAACCCTTCATGTTACTTGATTGTCAATGTTCTTGAATTTTGCTTTGTAATTATTTTGCAGTTGGACTTCACCATGAGGGAGAAATTTGGACTTCAGATGGACACCACATGGCAAGCAGATATGCAACAAGAGGAATCATCACTAATACTATTTCACCCCTGCTGTAAACTGCTGAACATGCACTCAGTCACAAATACTTGCTTCCTTTTTTTGTTTCCCTGCCAGTGCATTCTGTTTCTTTTCCTGGAAACTCACAACTTTGTTGTATGCCATCTTGTTGACAGCTCTTCTCCACATTCAACTGGTTGTTCCTCTTTTCTTCTTCTGTTTCTTCATTACTGGCTTCTATATACATTTCC